TCTTATTTCACTGGACTTCAGGATAGAATTGGCTACTTGCAGAGGCCAAATCCATAATCATGAAAGAGGATTTGTGTCTGTCAGCACCATAGTGCCAAGACCATGAAACCTAGTCACCCAAAACCTAGCGTGCATGCTGAACAAATGGTAGGGATGTATACCTCAGGGTTTGGGGTATTTAAAATAATTAATTAATTAAAATAATTTTTACGTAGGAAAATAACTTCAGCCATTGGGTGGCAGAATTCCCTAGCCACCCAGTATAAAACAGACAAAGTCAACAGCCCCTGAATTATCTGGGGCTTGTTTCTTGCCTCCCTCCTGCATTGTCCAAGACTTACACCCTCCCTTTCACTGTATACTAGAAAGCAGGGGTGGGCAATAGACTGAAGCCAAAGGGGCATAATCTGAGGGACAGACTATATAGCTGCCCCCTTGTGACTATTGTGGGACAACCCCCTCCATGCCTGTACCTAAGGCTGGAGGGCTGCTCTCCCTAAATCTTCTCTGCCCCCTATTATCAGTAATGCAATTAAATAACTAAAAAGCAATTTGCAATGCTGTCTTTAAAATGGCATCCAGATGAACTGCTCTCCTAATTTTTGGGTGTCCCATCTGAACTTTAAGGGGGAGTATATTTATTTATTTATTTATTATATTTATATCCTGCCTTTTTTTTCTTCCAAGGAAATCAGGGCAGCTTATACAGTTCTGCTCTTCCTCCTCACAATCTGATCCCCACAACAACAACTCTGTGAGGTAGGCTGGGTTGAGAATCTGTGACTGGCCCAAAGTCACCCAGTTGGCACCATGGCCGAGCAGGGATTAAAACCCAGGTCACCGGAGTCCCGGTCCTGCACCCTTGACCGCTATTCCACACCCACTAGGGGAATGAAGAGTCACACAGCCTGATCCACAGGGAGCCAATGTGGTGCAGCCATTAGAGTGCTGAACTGCAACTCCAGGTTTTAGTCTCCACCCCATACTTCACGGGGCTGTTATTATGAGGACAAAATAGAGGGAGGGGAAATCCTATAAGCCACCTTGGGTTCCTTAAAGAAGAAAGGTGGGTATAATGTAATGTAAGGAAATTATGATAACAATAACTACATAGGTGAGATAAAGGCACAATCATTATGATTGCCAACCAAGACTTTTAATCTAGCAAGCTTTTACCTGTCAGGTACTGATATTTGGTTTAATTCTATGTTTTAGCTGTGGTCCCTGCTTTCATATTTTACTTTTGTCATTGTTTGTATTTTATTGAATATATTATATGAGTGTTGTCGTAAGCCACATGGACACTAGAAGGTGGCATAGAACTCTGATCAGTAACTAAATAACGTATTATTGAAAAAAAGTTATTCAATAGTATTCTGTTTTAGGAATGCTGTTAGGAATGGTCGTGGACATAGGTTTGAGACACATGCATTTCTGGAGTAACAACAGAGCCAACAAGAGATGAAGGCAGGTTTAAATCCTATGTTTCTTCATTTGACACTATCTTCCATTAATATAAATGGCATTTGCTTCTGAATAATTCAGCTGCCTGGCTATATCCATTCTGTTTTTCTGGGCTTTTAACAACAATTACAATTCACCAGCTTGGATGGCTTTCACACTGCTGCTTCCTGTACTTGCAGGTTTTCTCTGTTTTAGCATGCTTTTAATACATATTGTGATTTTGCATTATTCTACCAGGTAATTTTAGTTTCCAGACTTAAAATTTTAGTGAATGGGAGCGGCACTTTAAGTGGCCATGAAAATTTCTTCCCGTTTCAAAATATAGTAGGCTGGTTTTCCTCACATTTATAGTGCCTCTGCCCTTCTGCTAGGTGGGGTCCTGGACTTGTGCCCTAAAGTCCTACTGTGAGGGTACCACTCATTCATTACATGGCTCTCTTTTGAGAGACTCTAGGAATAGGATGCACTCAGTGGTAAATTAAGTGGCTATGCTGGGTAAATTCACCCTATAATTCTTCTCCTGAGAGGACTTCTGCCAATTTGTTGTTTCAAGAGGGAAGCAAAGACACAATGTAGGCTCAAAACTAGTTTTTATTAACAGGCTTCAGCTAAAGGGTGAAACAGCTGCCTTAAAAACAACGCTGTCTTCACACCTTTATGGAGCAGCTCAATAAACTTTTATACCCCTGCTATCAGCTGCAGTTGCCACCTCTAATTGTGAACTTATCCAAAGCGGTCAATTGGTCAAGTTTCCTTATATGGTCAGCAATCAGTCTAACTCAGCCTACCTGGTCATTGTATGGGTTGCATAACATAGAATATGGCCTGTGCTCATTTTATACTGATAACTGCTAGGCCTCATTCATCTAACAGCTGGAGGTGAAAGGGAACAAAGCCTCCTGCATTACAGAAGAGATAATCAATTTGCCACAAGCACAAAAAACAGTGGATGTCCTGGGCACCTCAGCTGGTGGAACACATGCCGTACATGCAAAAGATTGCAGGTTCAAGGCTTCCCAGCTCTGATAAAAAGATTCGATAGAAGGTAAGTATTGAGGCCTTTGAATTGTGTTGCTGGAGGAGACTTCTGTGAGTCCCTTGGACTGCAAGGTGATCAAACCGGTCAGTCCTAGAGGCAGTGCTTTTTTTTTTGTAAAAAAAAAAAAAGGTACCGGAACTCATGTCTTGAGGTCACACTTTTTCACCAACTTTTTTTGAAATAAAGAACTTGTTTACCTTTTGCACGTAGCCAGTTACTCTACACACACATAAACATAATGGACATCACCGGCAGTAAGCGCTCAGTGTGCGACCACACGACCGATCCCAAGCCGAGCAGCGTCCCAAGCCAAGCAGTGCCCCCACAATCAGCACTGACAATCAGCGCTGACACACAAGCAGGCACTATGTTAATAATTTTTGCAGTTGACCTGCTACGCCCAACAGGGTGATTCACGATCACTTAGAAAAATCCGTCAAAAAAAGGTGCCAGAACACCATTCTGGTGCGTTCTATGACAAAAAAAGCCCTGCCTAGAGGAGACCAACCCTGACTGCTCTTTACAAGGCCAGATACTGAAGATGAAACTCAAATACTTTGGCCACCTAATGAGAAGGAAGGACTCCCTGGAGAAGAGCCTGATGCTGGGAATGATTGATGGCAAAAGAAGAAGGGGACAGCAGAGGAGGAGGTGGCTAGATGGAGTCACTGAAGCAGTTGGTGTGAGCTTAGGTGGACTCCAGGGGATAGTGGAGGACAGGAAGGCCTGGAGGAGTGTTGTCCATGGGGTCCTGAGACTTCGCGACTCACAACACCAACAACAAAAATGGAAAAGCCTTCTACTTTGGTTAAATTAGGAATACAGAAACTGAGGCCTAGGGACCAAACGTGGCAGGGTTCTCCCAAAGGCAACATTCCCTTCCCCAAGCCACCTCTATTTCCCAGCCCCAGATCCTGTGCTGCTTCCCTGGATTTTGTGTAGTTTCTGCTATTCTAAAAGGTTCAGATGCCTTTCCTTAATGCTTTGAAATTAGGTTCACCTCATTGCAGCCCTCCCTGTTTGCCCTTCAGTTTAGTTTCAATTCCCACCAAATGGATGCTCCAAGCAACATTTATTATATTTCTATACCATCAAATAACCTTTTAAGCTATCTTTGTAAATTTCTTTGTTGTGCTGCAAAGTATTTTAGGGTGGCCTGGTGCTGAATGGGCAATCAAGACCCATTAGCTTTACAAGTATTAATGTTCTTGATAAAGATAAAAACTGTTACAACATATTTCTTAACTTGCTGATAAAACGTTTCTTCTTGTTGCTAATAAATTAAACACCTGGAGAACCTTGAGCTGGTGGTTCTGCACTTTGCAGACCTGTTATGATTCTCTCCTTCACTTTCTTTCCATCTAACCTCCAACATGCTAAAAATTACACTACACATTTGCCAACCAGTTAGTTTCATGACCAGAATTAAGAGGGCCCTAATATTTAACAGCAGAGAACTTAAAACTTTGGATCTATGTGAGCCTTCCCTTGTGCTGTCTCCTCTAGATAGGTTATTATGCTGCTTTTATATTATTTGAATTGTATTCATACACTGTATTTTATGAATTATGAACTGCAGAAAGGGCTTCCTCTATGGGGTGGTATAGAACTGAAATAATTTCAAGGACATTTGGGTCTTCTACAGTTGAAGGCAAACATTGCATCTGCATTATAGAAGCATATTCCACTATAGATCAGAATAGTACTTCCTAGAATCAAATATATAGTTTTGTCTCTGTGTGCTAATTTAAAAGATTGCCCCATATATGGAAATTGTGCATGTTATACAACTATGTATTCTAACTTTAATAAACATTTTGCCTGTGGTTCTAGGCGGTGGGTATGAATAGGCTAGAGATAAAAGGTCTATGGAAACTTAGATAGGAAAAATAGGTGTGTGTTACCATCTCCATGGCAACATGCATAGAGGAAGGGAGAGAATGTTTAAAAATCAAACTAACTCCTTCCCCCCTCAGTATTTTCCACACAACAAACGGCCTGCATTAGGGGGGAAATCATAAATTTGTTGCATCCTTTTGCTGTAAAACACGTTGCCGCAGCTGCGCAAACAAAGCTATGATAAAATTGGAGATGTCTCCATTGTTTTTCTATGAGAAACATTCACTTCCGCCAGCCTCAAAAAATGGCCTCCCAAGTGAAGCTGGAAGTCTGAATCTGTATGTGCGACTCTTTATTTCTTCAGGCTTCGCAAGGAAAGCTCTATGGTTTCCCTGGGGCGCTCTAGCCTGGTGTTCCTCCTCTTAATGGCGTTCCCTCGAATTTCTACAGACTTTCATTGGGTCTGTGGACAAGCGGAGGAGGGCAAAGAGGTTTTCTCCCCGTCTACAATTAAACGAGTAGCCCAATCATGAGAACGGAAGCTCTTGAATGGCAGGAAAGAGAACCAGTGATAACTGTTCCCTCTGAGATAGGCGGGACACGCGCGGAGAGGATCCTAGAGTCTAGGTGCTGGGCTGCCCTTGCAGGGGGCGGGGAGGGGGCAAGAAGGGGGCGGCTTCCCCCCCCTCCAGTTTAGGAAAGTGTCCCTTAAGCGGCTTTCAGTACGTTTACTTAAGAGAACGGGAGGGAGGGTCGCTTTAAGATTTAAAGGGCTACATCCCTAAAAGGACAGAGGGTTGGGGAAAGGGGCCGGTGGGGTATGTTAGACGTTAGTTATCAGCATGTTTGAGGGGGGTTCTCTAATATCTGGGATAGATAGTAGAGCTATCTACTCTGCAGATCTGCAAGTGTGTGTGTGTAGGGGGGTTGTTTGCCTACTATGCCCTGTTACAATGTCTTCTACAATTGCAGAATGGACCAAACTCAGCTGTTGGACTGGGATGAAGACGAGGATCTCGACGATCCTTCTGACGGGGTTGGTGGCTCTGGGGAGACCCCCAAGCCTGTGGGACGCCTGCATCTTCTGAGCAGCAAGTATGGCCCCGAGAAAGGTAGGGATGCTTCCTCATACCTTTGCAATGTGCAGAAGAATTGTTTATGTCGTCACCACATTGGATTTGTTTAAGCCTGTAGAGGCGGGGAAAACTGGTCCTCCAGATATTCTTGGACTTCAGCTCTCATCATTCCTGGCCATGGCCAGGAATGATGGGAGTTGTAGTTCAAGAATGACCACATGTTCCCCATCCTTATTATAGAGTAAGGGTGGGGAGGTGTTTATGCAGTAAAATAAAAGCAACCCTTCATTTGTTGCAGCCTGGTCACTAAGGACTTGTCTAAAGGAAAGGGTTTGGATTGAATTGGCCTGCCTGCTGCTGAAAATGCTTTTTGATATGCCTTGATTAAGGCAAGGTGTGGAGAAAGTGGATAAGGAGACACTTTTCTCCCTCTCATAGTACTAGAACTCGGCCATGCAATGAAACTGACTGCTGAGAGACTCAGATCAAGTAAAAGGAAGGACATCTTTGTACAGGGTATAGTTAAACTGTGAACTTTGCTTCAACAAGATGTAGTGATGGCCCCCAGTTTGGAGCTGTTTAAAGGGGGATGGGACAAATTCATGGAGATAAGGCTGTTGGCGGCTACTTGTTTTGATGGCTTTGTGCTTCCCCCAGCGTCTGAGGAACCTGAGCAAGAAGTTGCTCTCGCAAGCCTGTTCTGCTTGTGGGTTTCCCGTGGGTAGCTGGCTGGGCACTTTGCAACACAATGCTGACTGTGTAATTTGGTGAGACTGAATTGGTTTGATCCAGCATGGCTTTTCTTACGTTGTTACTATCGTAATGATGGTCCATAAGTGATATCAAGTCAGTCTTAAGAACAGGGCCTAGGAAAGGGGCCAGTAATGGTGGCAAAGGGGCTGTTTCTGTGGATTGTTGTACTCACTATCAACCAGGTCCTGAATGCATTTGTAGCTCCACCTCCTTCTGCAGGGAGGTCAGCTTGGGGATCTGAAGCACTAGTTTGCAAGGGTCAAGAAGGCGCCATTCCCTCCATATCGCTAATTTTATTTGACCTTTGTATGATTTACATTGGCACGTGGTCTTGATTTGGGGAGTTAATACTTATTTTCAGCCAAAATTAACATGTAAGATATATAGGAGTGAAACAATGCAGGCTGTAATCTTGTGTTCGTTTAACTGAGAGTAAGCCCCACTGGACTGAGAAAGCATGTTTACAACCACAAAGCTTTTGCCTGGATCTCCTCTTGGGCAACAGTTTTGAGTCACTTCTTGTGTGGGATGCTTGCCTGGAATCTTTATAGGCTTGAGTGAATTTTCTTCAGCTTAGCAGAGATACCAATCCTTCTGTGGCTGGTAAGGTTGGTTGACTTTACTGGTTTTTGAGAAAGGGGCTGTAAGTGTATTTTGCCTTAGAAAGTAACTTCTTGTAAAATTGGGTACCATAATAAAGTTTACACTGAATCCTGTATGCAAATTTGTAAGTTCTGATGGTTTACCTATTTTGGTAATAAGAGATCAAGCCTATCCATATTAAGATGATAAAGGGCCTATAATTTCTAGCATTCCCCAGCCACTTTTTCTGTCAAAATATTTATTTTATTTTAAACTTTTATATGCTGTCCGTTATGCATGGCATCTCAGGACGGCTTACAATCATTAAAACAAAAACACAATAAAACAACCATATCAATATTCAATATGGATATGATTGAATTCTTAATTGCGTTATTGTTGTATGTTTATCTTATCTGGAATAATTTTGAGTGTGATAATTGCAGAGAAGTGGTATATAACAAACTTGCCTTGATTTGACTTGACTTAAGCCCAGTTTTCATGTATTACACACATGAAAAGGCTTTCATGCCTGGCTTGCCAAACACCTTTCCTGGTGCACAATCAGTGTGAATCTGAAGGGGCTTCTATGTAGAGATGGATCTCCATGGAGATGCAAACTCTGGTCTCACAGAAGGGGATCTACATTTCCCCATCCAAGTAGATGCAGGGTGCTGTTCAGACTGTCAGCAGCCACCTGCTAGCAGGCATGTTGGCATCTAAGCATGAAATGCCCTTCACATACATGTTGTAGAAGGCTTTAAATATTACATTCATGTTGTCTGAAAGAAGACTGTATATCAAAGTGGGAGGTATCTTCTAACTTGAAACCATTTATTATATATTTCATTGTGCTTCTATACCACCTTTCTGGGATCTACCAAGGCACTTGACGGAAAGTTCAAACAATACTCAAGTAGAAACATTGAAAAAGACATTTAAAACCATAACAATGATTTAATAAGGTGGGTTAAAAAGATGTGCCTGTGAGCCCAGATGTATAGTTGAACCAGTGAATAAGCATTTTGTCCTTGTCAGATGAAAATTTGACAAGGACTCCAGGAGAGACACATTAGCTCAGGCTTGAGGGCTGAATCCATGGAAGTTGTCATCCTTGGTTCACATCATCACTCCTGTTAAAGACCCCTGGCCTTGCCAGGATTGGTGACTTGCTTAAATCTTCCATCAACCTCTGTGTCACCCTTGGTTATGTAAGCAAACCAAGAGTGGTTATGTCATATTCCCATAAGCAGCTGGCCTGTGGCCTGGTGCAGCAGGAGGCAGTGGGCGCAAACTTGTGATCCAACAATATCTGGAAGGCTGCAGGTTCCAGCATCTATCGGCTGTGGTGGCTGGGGCTGATGGGAGATGTAGTTGAATAACATCTGGAGCACCATAAATTCCCCATCCCTGATCTAGTGGATGAAAACAGAGTAGGGTGGAGGTTTTGAAAAGTAGATAAGTGTTAGTTTTAAAGTGCATTTTTATCCTGCCTTTTCACTCAGCTGTGGTCAAAGTGACTTCACAGTCATAAAGTTAACAAACGTATCATGGTAAAAACTAACCTCAACAAAAGTCATTTAAAGAGAAAGCTAGAAGCAAAATTAACTGACATTATCAGACTAAATATTTGTCTAAATGAAAATGGGAACTGTTGGACACGAGGCAGCAAGGTGGTGTGTGGGCCCTATCATGGGGTTTCTTTCTCTCCCCCAGATTTCTGGATCTATCCTGGGGAGAATGTCATTGGTCGGCTGGAAAGCTGTCAGATCTGCTTGCCGGCTGCTTCTGTTTCTAAGACTCATGCTGTGATTGAAGTGCCCTCCCCCGACGGGCCACACCTCTTGTATGATCAGGGCAGCCTGAACCGGACCCGGCGGCAGCGTGTGGTGCTGATCCCCCAGGTCCGATACAGCCTCCAAGATGGGGACACCTTGCTCTTCGGGGACGTGGGGTGCCAGTACTTCCTGCTGGCCCCAGGGGGTACCTCAGAATCCCCCGATGACTCTGTGGAGGTGCCTCCCACTCAGACGGACGCGGAGGCCACTGGCTTGGCCATTGAGGAGACGCCTGCGCCGGGCAAGAAGATGGGCTTTGGGCAGGTTCTGGTCCAGGATTCTGACAAGGAGGAGGAAGGGGAAGAAGGGGAGAACGAGACCAGCAGGATCCTGCATCCCCCAGCGAGGGATGGTAAGTGGGTGCTGTGAAGGAGGAGATGTTCAGGTGTAGGCATTTTGTTCTTCCAGCCCCAGTGATATAACCTTTTTCGGAGGCGTAGGGTGACCAAATGCCACCCCCCTGAAATATTAACAGTCTTCCTCTTCTCAATGCCTCTCACTCCCTTCCTTTCCTTGGCTCCTGAGCTGCAGCAAGGTATTGCCCATATGCGGTCTGTTTTCAAGGTAAATGTGACAAGAGAAATATTATAATGTCCTCTTTTTAAGAGGAAGAAGCTGCTGCTGCTTTGGTAAGGAAGAAGCTGGTAGGATGCTTAATTCCCTGACAAGAGGAATATGTTTCCTCATTGCATGCTGGTGTGAGGCCATGACAGAAGGAACTCTGTGTGCTAGAATATACACATGATTATGGAATGTAAGAAGTGGTCCCTGGAGCTCAGGGGTTGTCCTCCTAGGCAGCAGCAGCTCTTCAGGTTCATGGGCAGAGATGCTGCTTCCTGCAATTCAAGACAACATGACTTGAACTCAGGACTGTACATGGGCTTTACCTTGAAGGAGTGGCTCTTTCCCAGAGCTAAGGAACAAAGAGGTTAAGGTGAAGGAGGAGGAGATTTTCTCCTTGAAGACCTTGGAGTAATTGTGGGCAACAAGCTAAATATGAGCCAACGATGTGATGCAGCTGCAAAAATGGCAAATACTGTCTTGGGATGCATTAATGGAAGTATTACTTCCAAATGAGGAGGAGGAGTAGTTCCCCTGTACTCCTCACTAATCAGACCTCATCTGGAATATGGTGTCCAGTTCTGGGCACCAAGATTTAAGAAAGATGCAGAAAAATTAGAAAGGGCCCAGAGGAGGGCAACAAATGATCCAGGGTTTAGAAATACTGTCCTTTGAGGAGGGACTGAGAGAACTGGGCTTGAACAGTCTTGAGAAGAGAAGACTGAGGAGGTATGTGATATCACTCTGTAAGTACCTCAAAGGCTGTCACAAAGGGGAAGGTCAAGATCTCTTCTCACTGATACCAGAGTGTAGGACATGGAATAATCAAGTTAAGTTGTGACAACCCGGGTTCAGGCTAGATATCAGGAAAAAAAAATTAACTGTCAGAACAATACGGCAGTGGAACCAGCTGCCTAGAGGGGTGGCGGGCTCTCCCACTCTAGAGGCATTCAGAAAGAAACTTAACTGCAATCTGAGTGGGAGGGTGTAACTTGGTGTCCTGTCTTCTTGGCCCCTTCCAACTCTACTATTCTATGATGATTCTCTGTAGTGAGTCCTCTGAATTTCCTCTGTCTGTTCGGTTAGGATCTGTCAAAGATGGCACTGGAGGATGTTCCAAGTTGGCCACCTCCATGTTCTCCTCTCCTTCAGCTACTGTTGTACCTGAAAGGTATGTTTTCTTGTAGTCACTTGTTTTGAGAGATGGAAGCTTAAGAGCATAGAACACTATCAACTCTCGAAAAGAAAAAGTGTGTGTGTTCTGGGAAGGTTTAGATGTATATATGAAGGATAGGTCCTGTGCAAGTTTAATAAGCATTTGCTAGGAACAGAATCTTCATGTTCAGGGACAGTAGAGCTTTGATTAGCAGATCCTGTGGGGATCAACAGGAGATGGTGAGCTATGATTGTCTCACTTGATACTTTTTGAGAGAATCAGACTGTTGGAGACTATATACTGACTTCAACAGACTTGTGGCCTGGTTGCATCTCACAGTGCATATGAGCTTTCATGAAGGTACCTGCCAATAAATACAGTTTAAGGCAAGGAAAAACAGTGGGCCAAATAAATGGACCGAACCATAACCAACGTGGGTAGAAAACCCAATGCCTATATCCTTGGGGCAGAGTTAATTAGAATCGTTTGATCATCACTATTTTAGAAGATCCCTCACAGAGGAGGCAGCACCTCTTCTAAGATTGTACACCTTGCCACAGGTGCCATCATCACCTGAGGGCAGTGGGGGCTGCAAAAATCAGCTGGGGTTCCACAGGTGGCCCATGGGCCACATCACTTGCTCTGACCTAGAAACACGGCATCCTTTTTCTTCCAGATGGTCATTAGCCATATGCATACATAACTGATTAAAAATCTTGACTTAGCTTTATTTAGTTGGAGCATTGCTGATCAGTGCTAGAGTCGAGGATTCCAGTGATTTACTGCAAGCTTTTATCTTTCTGCTTGTTCTTTGTGTCCTACAGTGATGAGGAGGGTGGGGAAGCTCCTGCCAGTGAGCCGCCTTGTCCCTCCCTGCGTCTGTGCTTTGAGAGTCAGGATGCTGAGCCAGGCTCTTTGGAGAATGGAGTCACTGCGCCTTCAAGCCAAGACCGGCATCCTCCTCAGCCAGCAGCTGCCCAAACTGAAGTGTCCCCAGAGACAGGAGAAGTGACCACGAAAGAGCAGGCAGCTCCCACAGGCCCTGGCCTCATGGACTGCCACCTGGACAGTGACACAGACCTAGAGGATGAGGAGGGAGTGGGTGGTGCCTCTGAGGCATGCGCATTAGCGGAGGACAGCAAGGCCTTAGAATTGGGCAGTGGCGCTGGCAAGGATGAGCCTGTGGGGGTGAATCCAGGTGCTGGTAGTCAAACAAACAACCAGGTGGCACTCAGTGTGGGTCGCAATGCGGATGTGACGGAGGAGGCAAAGGGCCCAGACCTCCAAGGGCTGACGGCCCATCAGGCGGCTGAACGTAACGATGGCAGCGGTGCAGATCCTGACAGGGGCACAGAGAATCAACATGTATCTCTCGCCCACCAACAGTCCTGCCCCCAAAATCTGGATGGCCACAAAGCAGCCAAAGGGTCTGAAAGCCGCCATAATTTTGCCCAAGCCAAACCGGATCATCTGTCTGATGGAGAGGAGGACCGTAACCCAGATGCGGAGGAGGCTGCCGATAATTCAGGTGTGTGTGAGCAGGACATGCCGCCCACAGAGAGTGAATCTGGCAGTACAGATATGGAGGATGTGTCTCTTAAAGTGCCCAACCCCGATGCACTTCCGGAGACCCCTGAGCTTGTTGACTGCAGTGATGTTGATTCGGATGTTGCACCAGGTGAGCTGGTGCTGCAAAACTCGGATGTCGCTGGTCCTCTCAGTCCCCTCAGCCCAGTTGGCAAGGACAGCAGCTCATGTGCAGAAGAGAGCCCCACCAAGGACAATAATTACCTGGATGAAGGGGCAGGGCAAGATGCTGCTGCAGGGGAGGTGAAGGATCCGAATGCGGTACCCCAGAGGACTTGCAGAGCTGTTAATGAACAGACAAGGGACTTGGACAGCGAGGATCCCCTGGAAACCCCTGGGGTTGTGGTGAGTGCATCTGTAGTGCCTCAGGTCCCATCCCTGCCCATTCTTTCTGTGGATAGTGATACAGATGTGGAAGAGGAGCTTGAAAATCCAGAGGTGGCCCCGGAGGAGAGCCATGTCATTGCTAGTCCCAGCAGAGAAGGACTGGGTAGCTGCCTTGAGAAGCCAGAGGTTGGTCCCCAGGAGAGCGCTGGATCTGTTGAAGACACGGACAGTGATACTGATGTGGAAGCAGCTTCTCCATTCCACAAGGACTCGGCGGCTGAAGGCGTGGAGGAAGGGAGTGTCCAGGGGCCAGAGAAACCCCTGGACGAGCAAGAGACTCAGTTATTAGTCCCTATGAGCTCCTCTGTAGATGGGGAGAAAGGCCCTGGCTCTGTGATGGCCATCAGAGTCCAAGAAGAATCTCGCCAAGGGGAGGAAGAAATGGACATGGAGGAAAACGGGTCGCATTCAAGAGGCAGCAGTGGCACTGAAGGTGAGGCAGCAGTGGCAGCAACAGGAAGGAAAGGGGGACCAAGTTCTAGTCCTCCTTCCTGTTTCTATCCATCACTGTAAACACTTCTAACTGGGACCTTAGTTGACCTTTGAACAACCCAAGTTGGCTTTTGAACAGCCTTGGGCAAGCAAGACATGGATAACTTCTGTTCCAAGGGTTGTTCACCTTGGTGCCCCATGATGTGTCGGAGTGTCAGAGCAAAACCGCTGTGATGTGGCACTGCCCTGCAACTCTGAGCAGCGGAGCTGCACCTGTTTCTCCTGCAGTGGCGCCAGGCACAGCTTTAGTCTAATTGGGTGTCCTGTTGCATGCGTGGGAGCAGTGCATGCTGGGACAGAATGTTCGCAAGTACCACATGCAACAAAGTGTTGCAGTGTGCAGTGCTTCTGCTTCATTTCCAGCCATACCTTGGTTGAGGAGCTCCATTCCACTCCATTTCTGTTTCCCTTTCCCCAATCCCAAGTCAGCTTTCCATGCCTGCTGGGCATTCTCAGCCCTGTTTATGTGGCTTTTGGGGTCCCCACCCCCCTGGTGGGTGGTTCTTAAGATAATGTTATGCTCCTGCAAACTTTGGGTTAGTGCTGCCTTGGCCACATGAGCATTGACGCTCAAGCCCCGGCATCAGAAACTGGACTGTCTCTCTTCTTTCTCCATTCTCTCCCACCAGATGACCCTGACCTGGCTTTCCAGGCTACACAGTGTTTCCTGCCTTCTGAGACCTCATCTCCCAAGACTAGAAAGGAGAAAGATACCGGAGCGACAGGTGAGGAATGTTGCAGGATGCCTGGTTCCCCACAAAAGAGGAATGAAATCTGTTTGGATGAAGCCAGTAGGGCTTGGGAAGCCATGATTCCTGGGGGCTCTGGAAGAAGGATGGGCTAGAGCACGGCAGGCCAGCCTTCAGGGACTGTATGGCTGATTTTGGAGGACTGGCCTCATCCATTATTGGCAGCACTTGATGTCCTGATGGGATTGGATAGGAACAGCCACTGTCAGTGGTCCTTCTGTGCTCATTGGACCGACCTTTCCTCAGCCTGGCACCCAGGCTGGCCATTGTGGGAACAGGATGCTGGACACCACAGGGGCAGGGAGGGGCTGCTGCTCTTGTGCCCCCTTTGTGGGCTTCCTGTGGGGAGCTGGTTGGCCCCTGCATGAACCGACTGCTGGACCAGACGGGCCATCAGTCTGATCCTGATGCAATTTCTGCTATTCTTAAGTGTCAGCCTGTGAAGAATCTGAATTGGGGGGGGGGGGGGGGCGTGCTGGCAGTGCTGACTGGTGGAGCTGAGAGATGCATCAGGAAGGGATTAGCACTGGTACACTCCAACCTGGACTCCCTTCAGTGCCTTCTTTCAACTTAGAAGAAGAAGAAAGGGATTCCCCCGCCGCAAATTGAGTCATTCTGACCTGCCATTTACGGAAGTGCCATGTTTTTCCTTCCACCAGATTCCAGTTGTGCCCTGGAAGAGGAGGCCACTCAGGCCTTTGGCGCAGGGGACGAACTAAAGGCGGCCAGGCTCCACCTGGGGAAAGGTGAGTCGGTTTAAGCCTTTCCACCTGGTGGCCCTCCTCATGGATTCACCTACACTTGAGTGGAGCTGGGTGCAGGTGCAGCTCGTGCTCTCTCAGACAGAGCCCCTCGCACCGAGCCGGTCGGTTGAGGGTCAGCTCTGTGGACTGAACAAAGAGCAGTGCGCTGCTTCTGCACTGAATCCACCTGGCAACCTTTTATGACAGATGGAACATGTGCAGCACTGCGGATGGCGCTGAACGGCAACTCCGTCTGGAAAGCCGGTGTGGTGCAGCGCTTGCAAGTACTGGGCTGGGACACAGGAAACCAAGGAAAGACTTTGGGCTGGTCACAGACTCGCAGCTCAAGCTACCTCACAGGGTTGTTGTTGTGAGGATAAGATTGAGAGCAGCAGGAGGAGGATTTTGTGAAAGAGAAAACAGAGTATCACTGTAACAAATAACTTCCAGTGACAATGCTGGCTGGGGCTGAGGGGAGTTGCAGGGGGCAGCTTCCCCCGCATCAGCCTGCCCATTCATGACCACCTGGATCAACGCAGCTGGCCAGTCACTCTGCCTGCACAGGTGTGTCTGGCAGCAGCTGGGCCAGGGCCTCTTTTGTGGTGGCATCCCGCCTTTGGAATTCTCTCCTTCCTGAAGGGTGGCAGGCAGCACAGCTGACATGGTTTAGCTCACTTTGAACAATGTATTTGCGTGCTAAGGGGTTTGCCAATTTTAGTACTTAGCTTGGTAGAATTTCCTTGTTTTTCATCTATTATTTATTCTGAATTGCTCACACTCTGCTTGATTCACACATCAGCCCTGCGTGGTCGGCTCAGTTGAGAGTCACCAGGGAATTTTGTGGCCAGCTGGCAACTGGAACCTCCCACGTCCTCCTGCATTTTGCCATTCTGGCTCTTTTGCTTTTAGTTTTTCTTTTTGTGTTTTGTTTCAATTGTTGCTTTAACCTATTTTGTGTATCACTGTGTAATTTGATAACTAAGGGATAGGGTTATTTATATATTATGAATAAATAACTCTAGGCATAGAGTTATGTAATAAATAACACATCCCCCACCCTTGCTTTCTTGGGATGGTTTTGGGCATATTCCTCTGTGTTCTGATATGCTAAAGGAGGCACAGCTGAGAGACCCATCAGGGGAAGTGTGAGCAGGTGAGGGGCTGTTACTTTCGTTACTTGCCTGTGATGAGCCCGACTCTCCGCTCATCCTCTGTTTGTCTTCCTTGCAGTCTCTGTGATGGTGCCCTTGTCCCCAGGAAGCTCTACGGGCAGTCCAGGTGAGGCGGTATCTGGAAGGGAGAGGTGGCTGAGGGAGGGAAGACCATCACGGTTGGCCCAACACCTTCTTCTCTCGTCTGCTTTCTCTTGCAAACCTCCCAGAGAGCTTTGGCTATTAGGCAGTGCAGAAATTAAACTAATAACAATAACTTAATAAATAAACTAATAACAATAGCTGAAGGAATGTCTCCTTCCCTATATGCCCCCTTGCCCCCTAAGATCTGTAGGAGAGGTCCTGCTCCGGGAACCCTCCCTGAAGGAGGTAAAGAAGGTGTATACCCGGAGGAGGGCCTTCTCAGCGGTGGCGTCCCTACTGTGGAATTTGCTCCCCAGAGAGGTTTGCCTGGTGCCAACTTCATATTCTTTTCGGTGCCAGGTAAAACTTTTTAAAGGTAAAGGTTTCCCCTTGACGTTAAGTCCAGTCATGCCTGGCTCTAGGGGGCAGTGCTCATCTCCATTTCCTAGCCAAGGGAGCCAGCGTTGCCCGCAGACAGTCTCCGTGGTCATGTGGCCGGCATGACTAAACACCGAGGTGCACGGAACACTGTTACCTGCCCACCAAAGTGGCACCTTTTTATCTACTTGCATTTGCATGCTTTCGAGCTGCAAGGTTGGCAGGATGGAGCGACGGGAACTCACCCCATTGTGCAGATTCGAACCGGCGACCTTTCGATCAACCAGCCCAGCAGCACAGCGGTTTAAACCACTGAGCCATTTACCCATTATTTTAAGGATTGAGGAATTTTAACTTGGTTTTAATATATTTACTGTCAAATTTTTTTGTTTGTTATCATATGTTATTTATTTATTGTTCTTAGTATTGTAAGCTGTCCTGGGATGATTTTTGTGTAGGACAGGGTAGAAATGTTTTAATTAAATAAACGGTGCCCTCCAAGTTGGAGATGGCTGTGTTACCAGGAAGGTTTTCTTTGAAGTTGCATTTAGGAAAGGAAAAAAGCCCAATTTGTTCCATGTGGCGCTCAGGCAAAAGTAAGGATTCGTGTGATGCAGCCTCCTCCTCCAACCTGATGCTCTCTAGAAGTGTTGGCCTGCAATCTCCATGTGTCCTGCCAGCTGTCCTGGCTGGGGATGATGAAAGCTGTAGTCCAGCACACCATGTGGAACAAGGCCCGCTTCAGGGGGAAAGAACGGCTGTTCAATCAGGCCTGCCTCTTTCCCCTCTGCCCAGGGTCCAGCTCTCCTTTGAAAGACGACGACACAGATCCAGATGCTTACATGCTGGAAGCCACTCAGTCATTCTGCAGGGAGTTGTCAGAAGCGCCCACCCAGGACTTTGGGTCCAGAGAGGAGGAAGACGCGGAACTGATTTCCCAGTGCCCAGCTGAAGCGGAAGGCCTCCCTGAGCTGGCAGCACCGCCTGCAGCTTCAGCCTCAGCCTCTAGGGGGCAGCAGGCTGCCAGCATTCTGGGGGAGAGTGCGCAGCCCCTTCCCACGGGCCTGCCTGGCACGGAGCTTCCCTTACAGGTAGCAGGGGAAGCTGCTGGGGAGGAAGCAGCGAAGGAAGGAGAATCCCAGCCTTTCTCTTCAGGGCAAGCAATCCCTGTGGGCAGCCACCAAGCCTCCATACCTCAAGAGGTGATGGAAGCCTCCAGAAGCGAGCAGCAGGAAGCCCCTGAAGGCGGAGGTCCTGTGGAAGCTGCCCAGACATGGACAGGTGAGCAGTAAGAAGGCCTTGGAGCAGGCATGGTCGCCTGGAAAGGGAGCAATGCACAGCGTTTGAGATGTGGCACTGGGATGCGTAGCAATGCAGTTGTAATGTGTCGTTGCCCCCCCTCCATTGTCTTTTTGTGTTTTTCCAGCATTTGGGGTACATGCCAGGGTGGGCCAGATCCTCTTTTGAGAGCTGCACATGCAAGGCCAGTGCTGGCTGACGCTGGCCTCTTCTCCACCTCTCTTGCCCCCACACATGTGCAGAGCCCTTTCTCTGTTGCACACACGGCAACCACTGCACACTCCCTCTGCAGATGTGCGCCTTCCACCGCGGTGAGGAAGGAAGCCCTCTCCACGCCTAGGCAGGGGGGGCTGTTGGAGCCGTTACCCTCCTCGCAACTCCCATTTCTTCTTCCTGAGCCACAGGTGCTCCAGCCGCCACACTGTGGTTTCTTTCTTGTGATTCAGAGAGGAATGTGGCTTGTGGCATGTAGGATGGAGGAGGGCCTCCCTGGCCAGCCTCTCTGTGCAGCCCAGGAAGAAGCCAGTCTGTGGGGGCCAGGACCGGAGCTGCATTCAGGAAAACCAAGATGGCCTCTCTCTGGTTCAAAGGGATTTCCTAGGTGTCTGAGCCTGAGTCACCAGGAGTTCTGGCAGATCCCAAGCTGATCTCCACTAATCCATTTGATGGGTTCAGTTTGGATTAGTGGTTTTGGCTGCAGTGACACAGTCCAAACCTCCCGTGTTGCCCATTTTTGAAAAGCCAAGTCTGGTAAATTGTACTCCACAAGTCACAGCAACTCATGCTGTGCAGAAACTATGGGTTCTAGTGATATCACAAATGATCATGGGTCCAACAACCCCTGCAACAAGCCATGGATTGTCAGAGTGGCTTGTTGCCACCCTGTAGGGAGCAGTCCAGGTTTATGCAACCCCAGAACCACCATGGCTTGTACTACGTGGTTGTGTAGTAGAAAGGCAGTTCATGAGTCCTCTGGAAGGAGGGCAGGGTTCAGGGCAGGCATCCTCATGACCGCCTGTTGTGGATTACAACTCCCCGGACCCCCTGCCACTATGGATGAGGGGGTGGTGTGAGGATTCGGAAACTCCCCCCAGCAGTTATGGGGAAGGAGTGTGGGGACCCATAGCTCAGCACTGCCCCTGGTAGGTGGAATGAAAGCTGCATCATCCATCCCAAGCCACCTCATCCTGTGCCTCTTCTAGCTCGTGTTGAGGGTGAGTCAGAAGAAAGGAGCACAGTACCTGTGGGAGAAGTGAGAGATGCTGAACAGGTAAGCTTGGGATGCTCTTCACACCTTTCATAAATAGAGGCTGCTGCAACTAGAGGGGGAGAATCTGCCAGATGCATTTTCTTCTGTCATTTTTTCTTAAGTTCAGTTTCTTCCCAGAGTTTCAGATATTTTAAAGTTTGCATGAAAATTCATAATCATTTGGCACATATTTCTGCAAATACATATTGCAGTATGTTGCAAGTAATTTTGCCATTATAATATATATTTGACTGCTTATTCCCCTAAGATTTGCAATTTTTGGTATGCAAGCCTAATTGTGACAAACTCCAATGCAAATTTTGAAGAAGCAAAACATTGGAAGAATAGCTATGTTTTAATTTGTGTAGTGGTTTCAAAGTGCAAAATTATGAAAGTTTGCATTACTGTGTGGTAAAAAAGCAAACTAAACATATTTCCACTCCATCCCTCACTGCAGCCGACGTCTTTTCTGGTGAGAACCCAGAAGTCCTGTCCTCTCCTTTTTCCTGTGCAGCCCAGATGGCCTGATCACTCCTTAATATTGCAGGTGCTGCAGCAAGCCCAGGAGAAGGCCGCTGAATCCCCGGCCCCGGCCCCTACCCCTGCCCCTGGGCGGCGGCGTAGCCTCCGGTCCTCTGCCGCGGGTGCGTCCCCAGCTCCCGCCTCGGAAGGGCGAAGCCTTCGCCACCGTGGCCGGGTGGGGTCTGGTGATGGAGAGGGGTGCAGTGAACCGGCTGCTCCCGTCCCGAGACGCAGGGGGAAGCGGCAACTCAGCAACCCAACCCAGTATATGGGGGAGCCAGAGGCCAAGGCGGAGCAGCCGGAAGGAGGGGGAGCGAGCTCCAGCAAGAAGCCCAGGAAAGGCGAGCCGACGGGTGCTGTGCGTCAGGGCCGGGCCAGGTGCTCCCCAAGGGGACCCAGAACTGCCAGCAAGTTGAAGGAGGAGACGGCAAAGGCTGCACCCAGCCCAGGGGCCAGGAGCACAGCAAGGCGGGGGAAATCGAGAGCTGCGGCAGAACCAGAGCAGGAGGAGCTGCTGGAGCCGCCTAGGACCCGGGCCAGCAGGAGATCGGGCAGTACTTCAGTGAGCACACCAAGCCCAAAGGACTCGGGGACAGAAGTCAGACCTGGGCAGGTGGGTAGGATAACTGTGGAAAAAGCAATTTAGGTTTCTCTCCTGCCCAGTAGCCCAAGCAGATGGCTTGGGAGCTAAAGGAACCACTGTGGAAGAGTGGATTTTAAAAATGAAATTGACAGATGGACAAGCTGGTCTCACCCTGCTGCTGCTGCTGCTGCTGCTTAGAGGTATCAGGGGTGGGGTGCCCTTCCAGCTGTCCCCTTCAGTTGCAGTGAAGAGCCATGAATGCGGCGGGCGGCAGTCTCTCAGCCTCGTGTCATGGATACGTAACAGGAGGGGCTGTGTGTGGCCCGCCCTGCAGGTTTGCCCAAAGTATTACTGGGATAATGTACAAGAAATGGCCTTTGGGGACCTGGAGGACTGCAGAACGAGCTGTTCTCTGAGGATCTGCAGAGGTGGCCTTGCAACCACATTAGGTCCTGTGTCCTGTGGCTGAAAACGAAGCCAAAGGTGCATGGCTAAATCCAGCTCTTACCTGCCTGGAAAATTGCCCCTTTGCGTTCCCACATGGACACACACCTCCCTTTCGGAAAGGCTGCACTGCCTTTGGCTCTGCTTGTCTGGGCCATTGGAAGGCAGCTGTATTGGTGCAGCCTTACCAGCTGAGGTAGTCCCAGACTTTGAGAGGGCACTTCTCAGCATTCCCGGGGCAGATGCATGCTGATGTCAAACGCCCTGGGAGCACGAAGTCAGGGGAGGCTGCTGAGAGAGTAGAAGTGGGCAGACTTCCAGCCGTCTCTGCCTTGTATCTGACTCAAATGCCAGCTTCCCCCAGCTGATGCCAGGAGCAGGATGGCAGTCCGGGGAACAGACGTAGCACTGCGGAACAAGCATGTGCTGGGAGGCTGATTCCCCTCCTGGCATTGCCGGAACTTGCACGCAGCTCCTTTTGCTTGCCCATCTACCCCTGGAGTTTTTCCCCTTGAGGGGCCTCGATTTCAGCAGCTTTGCTGAAGAGGGAAAGCAGGCTTTAAGTTCTCAATGTTGCTGAAACTTAGGGAGGCAGAAAGTCTTACTGAGGTACTGCAAGTTACCTGGGGATCTGCCAGTTGATCCCAATCAACCTTTTGCCCAGCCCTGGAGTAAAGTGTAGCAACTAAATGTGGTGTGAAGGCACAGAAGGCATCCACCGTGGTGAAGCTAAGCAAGTCTGGGGCTGGCCTGAGCTTGGAGGGGAGACCACCTGGGCACCACGTGGAGCCACCCTGGGTTCCACAATTGGAGAAAGGTGGGATTTAAATCAAAAAAATGAACTGGCTTTAGGGTCAAATTGCTGGCAGTGGAGGGGGAGGTTTGGTGGAAGCCTGTTGATGGACTTTCCGACCAGGTGACGGGCTGCCTGGCTGAGGACGGGGCTTGTTAGCCAAAGCAAGGGCTAGAAATGGGGAGTGTTCCAGTCCTGAAACAAATGGGTGTCTTTGTTTCCTCATGCTTGCCCCTCAGGGGCTGTCACAGGCCACGCCGTCCTCCAGGAGGAGGTCGCCGCGCCTGAGCACGGAAGGCAAGCCAGCGGGTGTGAGGGCCCCGTCCCGGAGGCGGTCCGAGGGCGCGGCGGACTCTGGCGTTCCTGCCCCAAAGGTACGGCAAGCACTTCTTACGCTGCATGGAGGGGCTGGGGCTGGTGGGCGGGGGGGACAGCAGCCTGGCTCCTGGATCTGGGAACCCTTAGGGCAGCCTCGTATTGAGGCCTGGCCTAGTCACCACAGGAGAGCACATTCAGGCGAGCGACTGAGCTGGCAGAGAAGGGGTGGGGAGCTCTGCCGCTCCTCTGCAGGCCTTGACGTGCAGCAGGCGGCTGCACAGTGAGTACTGATCTCTGGCCAGCTAGAGAGCATTTTTGCAGTCCAGCCTCTTCAGGAGACTTGTCTCGGGAGTCCTCTTCACATAGAAACAGCGGGCCGTGGCTCCGTGTCAGAGCGCCTGCTGTTGGTGGAGAAGGGCCCCGGCTTGATCTTCCGCATGCCCAGTTCAAGCAGGAAGCCCCGCCGCCTGGCATCTTGGAGAGCCTCTGCCAGTCCGTGCCAGTGACTCTGGGCCAGGTGGAGCTGCGCAGTGCTGGCCGAGCCTGAGGCTGCTGCCTGCATCCCCGGCGGGCTTGCAAACCAGCAGCTGCACATTCTGCTTCCTGGGGTGAACTGCGCTGTGTTAAGTCTCTTGCTGGGGAGAGGAAGATGCCCTCTGGAGGTGCCAGGCGGTTGTCTTCCTGCATCCAAAACAGCTGGGGAAGGGATGCGACCAAACCGTGGGGCAGGCTTCCCTTGGAAGGCGTGGGGCAAAAGTGGGGTGGGGGGAGGGAAAGGATAGGATTCTGTGGCCGGCAGGGGCCTTGTTCTCTCAGTTCCAAGGGGATGGCCTGCTTCCCCTGCCGCCCAGCAGAAGCTTCCTCAGACTAGGTGGCCCTGGAGGCCCCTTCTGGCTCGCTCTGTTTCCTGCTCTTCCACACCGGCCTTGTGGGGCAAGTGCCACCTTGCAGCTGCCCCATCTTCCCAACCTGATTTGGGAAAGGGGCTTAGGAAAAGGTGTTGGTCCTGGTCTAATGCTAGTTCCTCATATGCAGTTGTGTGTGTGTGCACAAGGAATTACTCATGGGAAGTAGGTGGCCCAGCAGATGTGGCTGGATTTCAACTCCCATCATCTCTCACCATTGGCTAGGTGCGCTGGGGTTCATGGGCATTGTAGTCCAGCCACATCTGGGAAGGGCCTGCGTTGCCCATCCCCGTTCCAGACCCAAACTCACGGGAGACAGTCGAAGGAGAGGTGAGAAGTGGGTCAACAGGGGGAGTACGCGGTGCTTGGGCTACTCGTGGAAGGAATCGCGGCAACAGCGGGGGACTCGCGGTCCTCCAGGTGTTCTTGGCTGTTGCTTCCACTCTCCCTGAGCCTGGAGCTGGTGGGATTTGGAATCCGGCTGCATCTGGAGGGCCATGTGGGCCCCTCCCTGGGTACAGAGGGAATTGCACAGAAAATGTCCCATTCTGCTCTTCGTCTCCTGCGGCTGTTAGATGAGGAGCTCAGCCTGTGGGTCCTGCCTGCACCCAGTTGCCGGCACTTCGGCGAGTGGGGCAAAGGAAGGGGAGGAGACGAGGCAGAGTTCAGGCTCGCCACGTCTGAGAGGCACGGCTGTGCCTTGGAGGCGGCATGGGTCTAACACTCGACTTCCTCCTCCCTTCTGCCCCCCAGGTGTTGTTCACTGGGGTGATTGATGAGGAGGGGGAGCGTGTGGTGACAGAGCTCGGGGGGACTCTGGCGGACTCCGTCTTCGACTGCACCCACCTTGTGACGGACCGCGTGCGCCGCACGGTCAAGTTCTTGTGTGCGCTGGCACGGGGCATCCCCATCGTGACCCTGGATTGGCTGGAGAAGGTGAGCTGCTTCCTCGGCCACGTCCCCTTTCTCCCACAATGCTCCAGGGCAGAAGGGTCCTGCTCCTGCATTCTCGGGGGCAAGGGTGGGTCCTACTCCCCAGAAAGTGGTTCAGGAGGTGAGTCACCTCCCCAGATTAACTTCTCCCTTGTGGCTGATGGGCTTTTAGGAGCCACTCGGACGTCTTTGGGTATCAAGTGGTTTAAATAAATAGAATAATTGATGATGAGCCCCCAGCTTGTTCGTTGCAGGATGGCCTCCAGGATTTTGTGAGGGAGGAGAGGAATTAAATAATGCTCTTGTAAATCCAGAGGGCCCATTCACACGGAGACTTCTGCCTATTTCACTACTCCGGCTTTGTCTGCTCCCGTTCGGCCTTTGCTGAGGGTGAGCAGTTGTGCTGCCCCCCCCCCCCACCCGTACTGAGTGTGGTGGGCACACCAACGTGCTCCCAGTGCAAAACTGCCCTCTCTTGAAGGAGGCTGCCCCATTAGGACTTGGCAGGCATTGCTGTCCAAGGACAACTCCTGCCGGTGCAGTTAGGGGTCCCATCAGAACAGTGACTCATGCAGGGACACCGAGGGAGAGGTTCCTCTGAAGGGGAGCTCTCCCAGGCCCTCGGGGCATGACGTGTGCCTCCAGTGGCTGCTTCTGCCAGAATTTTGGAAACCTCAAGCAGCTTTGGCATCACCTCCTTGGCACAGCCCCAACATCACGGATCATGGTGCTGCCAGCAGGACTGGGCCGCTGCCTACAAAATCCACAGAGGCGGCGAGTGAGGGGGGAGACTTCCTTCAAGTGAAATGGGACAAAAATGTTCACCGCATTTCAATATTAAAATTTGGTATGGCTGCCAGGGACAAGCAAACATTTGCTCCTGCGGCGTGTGTGGTGGGCAGCGACTTAGCCCTCACTGGCTCTAGGAGCAGGGATGTGAAGCCCAGCGGGAGTGGCAGAAGGCTACACCGGGGTGCACAGATGCGCCCCTCAGTTTTTCTCCTGAGAGGTGGGTCAGAAGGAGAACAGCATATCCATGCGGCGCTGATGGGGAGCTCCTCTCATGCTGAGGGAGAGCGCGGGCTTTGCATGCAGCGGTCGCCTGGGCCTGTCCCTGGCAACTGCAGCTGAAGGACCCCCAGAGCAAGGCAAGCCGAGGCTTCTGCCTGAGAACCCGGCAGCCTCTGACATACAGGGGTGGGTGGTCTCGGGGTAGATGTACCAAGGAGCATCTCTTCTTAGCTGGTGGAGACCTATCTATTTCAACGATTTTATACTGCCTTTAGCGGGTAGAAACCCTCCAAGGAGTGCAAGGGTCTTCCTTAAGAGGGAGGGGGTGACCTTTCCATGGGTTTAGGCCTCTGCTTATCTCCTGCTTGTTCCTTTCCTTCCCTCCCTTGACAGAGTAAGCGGAAATCTTCCTTCCTAGCACCAGACAGCTTCTTTGTCTGTGACCCTGAGCAAGAGAAGAACTTCCAGTTCAGCCTCACCACGTCCCTGCAGAAAGCTCAGGAGGAGGGAGGCCTGCTCCAGGTGAGCTCGTACTTGGCATCCTTCCCCCCGCAGTGAAGTGGCTTTTTCTATTCTAGCACTGACAAGGGCTTCCTTTTCCCGTGTTGGGGAGGGAATGGGGTGTGTGTGAGAGAGAACTGATGGCACCTGGACCTTCGGGCCAGGCAAGCTTCCCCAGCCTCGAAAGGAGCTTCCAAAGGAACTGGAATCCCGTCAGGACAGCTTGTAGATGGAGAAGTCTGAGGCATCAGGATGTGTAACTCAAAACTTGAAGTTCCTTCGGTTTCCCTTGCTGATTGGGAGATTTCCTCTCGTGGTGGTTGAGGATGAAGTTCAGCCTGGCCCAGGGCAGTTGTGGGGCTGATCCTGAGCCACGAAGGCTCCAGCATCATGCGACGCTGGCAACGAGGCTCTTGGCACCTCGGTTGACTTTCACAGGGAGGCAAATGCTCTCCCCTTGCTGAGTTTGAGTCTGGGATGCAGGACAGGCAGGCGGGGTCTCTTACCGGCACCTGGGTGCCCTTGCTAGACGCTTTCATGCAAGATGCGGCAGCCCCTCTCTCCACCGCGAGGCAGGGGGACTTCCCTCCAGAGCCCGTCTTTTGCCCTTGCAGGGCTACGAGATCCACGTCACCCCCAACGTTAAGCCTGAGCCCGAGCACATGAGAGACATCGTTCGATGCAGCGGAGGGACCTTCCTGCCCCGGATGCCGCGAGCCTACAAGGTGAGCCAGGAGGGGGGTGCCCTGTCGCAGGCGCCCCGGGCCATGACCTGGGCACAGACCTGCATGGCCGAAGGCAGCTCTGAGAGCGTTTTGACCCTGTATTTTGATCCTTCAAGGACAAGCGTGTGGTCATTTCCTGCGCCGAGGACCTGCCCCGCTGTAAGCCAGCGCAGGATGCCAGGGTGCCTGTTGCCGATTCGGAGCTCATCCTGACGGGGATATTGCAGCAGAAGATCGATTTGGATGCCCACCGGCTGGATGGAGGGGCGCTCCCTCCCCCTGCCACCAGCCCTGCCGCTCCCTCCACCAGGGCCAGCAAGAGGAGAGCGGGGGTCCAGACGGCCCCAGCCCCACCCAGCACAGCCAAGAGACGGCGCTGATCCTGCAGCTCGCCTCTGAACATGGAGACCTTGCCTTAAATTTGTAAATACCTTTTTTTTTTAAAAATCTGTCAATAAACCCTAAATCCAGCTGGCTATTTTGAAATGGGGTATGGTGGGAAAACGGAGTCGTCATCTTTAAGAATAGAAGAACTTTACCAGTTGAACAAGTAATTTAGAGCTTTCAGCAGTTCAAGTGGTGAAATATATAACTCTTCCTATCGCTGGTAGAGATACGTTCTGATTTAGCAATGAAGAGAAACCATTTGTGCTGAGAAGGAAAAGCTGTCTTTAAGTTTCTGTTTTTCAATGCACCAGAACCAAAATAATCCCAAACAAAACATGCTTGCACTTAAATGGAGTAGCCAGTGCCCAAGCGACACGAAAGTCCCTTTACACATTCAGTAGTTGCTGCCTTTTAAAGAATAAGCAGGTGCTGATCCACACTTGGGTGAGGCAGTGGGGGGATTGTGGGCAAGGCTTTTACTCTTTACATTCTGCTGCCGTCCCAGATGGGGTCCCCTTGCACTTGCTATTTGCATTCCCCTGTTCCTCTGCCCCATTCTGCCAGCCCTTAAGAGTGTGTGTGTGTGTGTATGAATGAGTGGGGGATTTTTTTCTTACAAGGGAATAAATGCAGATTTCATGGCTAGGGAGTGAATGGAAGGGAAATGTGTGCTCTATTTCATTTTCAGATATTTCCCAGCATGAAATCTGTGTGTTTCTCTGTAAAACATATACAAATTTCCCAGCAAGTTTTAAAATTGCCTTTAGAAATGGCAGATTGCAGGGAGATGTATTGGGCCTCCCCCTCAGTGCAGCCACGCACACACCATCCCGTTGAGATTTCTGCGTGGGGTTTTATTAGCTGCCAGGACACACCAGCATGGCATAAAAAGTGGGTAGCCATAAGCAGTCCCCTTTCTGAGCTAGCTGGAAATTCAGGAGAGTGCAGAAAAGGGGAAGTGCACTGAGAAGTGTCTGTAAAATACTAGAAGTCGATTGCACTCCCCTTGGAAGCACCTACTTAGCTGCCTTCTTTTCCTTTGCAGAATGGGAATGGGGAGACAAGACGGGGTGCCGTGAAGGTTTCTGGGATATCAACTGGAGGACTGGGGAGAACAAGCCGGGATGAGCCTGATGGTCAAGTCTGGGGTGGGTTGGCTGTTCATGTGAACCTGCCCTCTGTTTGCATAACACGAGTGTCCTGCCCATCATTGTAGGGAACTGGGGCAGGGTGCAAAATGTAATAATTCTAATACAATATAAACCCGATAAGCCGCATAAGATGCAGTTGAGTGTCCAAAGCCAGCAAGAAATCAAAGGCTTTCCTCCAGAATTAGGTTGCTGCAAAAGAGTGCTTGGTGGGGAAAGCAGGCCTGGGTCTTTGTGTGAAAGGACTTAGGAGCCTGAACTTGACCTTGATGAGTTCCTGAACTGAACACGTGCCCAGAGGCATCCTGTTCCTTACGTTTTGGCACCTGTCCGCCAGCAGGGAGCACTATTTTGCTTGAGGTGTCAGTCAAAAACAAAGCAGCTCCTTCAAGCACAGCCTGCCCACTCCCAACCTACAATAAAATCAGGAAAATACAGAGGGTGGTTTCTGCCTGCCTGCCTGCCTGCCCACCCGCCCCCTGGAGGAGGAAGAGGCTGGAGAGGCTCAGTATCTATTAATGCTACGTTTGGCATTAATCCTTTGCTCTGACCCATCTGTTTTCTTGCAATCCACATGTGCAAATAGGAAGTGACAGAGAAGCCACTGGCTCAACCTTCTGCCAGAAATAAATGTAGTGTTAGTGGAAATCATTTGGATAGCTAAAGGTATGCCTGCAGTTGCTCTCATTTCCTGGGAGGTGTTCCCAGAGCATACCCGGAAAGTCTGGGCTTAAGCATGGACTTTCAGGGGGTGGAATGGGTCACCATGCTTCTCACAATGTCTTTCCCGCCCACTGCAAAAGCACAGCCTCCTCCAAGCGCAGCACTGCACTTCGGTGGCTAAATAAAGCCGCCTTGCCAGGATTCCTACTTGCAGACGTATGTCCAGAGCTTTGGTATCATGTGTCAGTTTGGAGCACCTTCCCCTCAGTACAGCTGCCATGTGCCTTAGCAGCTGAACTTTGCTGCCAGAGCGAATGAGCATGATCTCAGCGCAGTTTCACAACTGCAAAGGAAGGGGAGAAAGGGGGAGGCGCTCTGGGAGTGCTGGCTGGGAAGAACGCCGTTCTGTGCCGTCAGGTCTCCAACATACGGCGACTGTGCTGGAAAGCCCTCCAAAATGCCCCCTCCATGGCAGCCTGCTCGGCTTTAGTAAATCCAAGGCTGTGGCTTCCTTTATGGGGTCAATCTCTCTCATATTTGGTCTTCCTCCTCTTCTGCCTTTTACGTTCCCTAGCATGATTGTCTTCTCCAGGGAGTCTTGCCTTCTCGTCACGCTATCCCAGATAAATGCCAGATAGCGGAGGACTTGCAAACAGCTGTCTTTGGGGTGTAGCAGGATGAAATACCCAGTTCTTTTGAAGGTGCGCAACAGGATCACAAAGCTGCTGCCACCCCCTTCACAGCCCCCCCCCCCCCCTCCCCCCCCCCCCCCCCCCACTTCAGCCTGCCTTGGTGCCTTTCTCAGCTCTTGAAAATGGCTCTTGGATGCTGCCCCCACATTTCCTTAGGAGAAAACCTCACAATGGGATAATTGGAAAAGGAACTGCAAAGTGTCTTACAAGGATACATTTTGAACCTAGCAAATCTCTTTGGACACCCCAATATCAGAAAAGAAAGGGCCCCCCTTTTTCCTTCCTTGATTTCATTTTCTGCTAATTAGTTCTTTGAGGCAACGCGCTGGTGACAAAAACCGGCTCTTGTGTGGCTTCCAGGGGGAACGTTGTCAGAGGCGGGAATAGTGAAGAACGGGCCACATGGGTCAGGCAGCTCTTGAACGGTGCAGCGGATTCTGTCCAACAAAGAGCTTTGTGCCCCTTGCAATATTTCCATTGAGACGTTTTAACATTTCATTCTACAAATGTGTACCAAGAAAAACGTAAAACAAAAATGACATAATTCACTCATCAAAGAATATATTCTAACTAGTGTTGGGGAGGCAAGTCTAGTGACTTGCTCCAAAGTCTGACTCAAGTCGCATCAGCAACTTGACTCGAACTTGACTTGGGAGCACCAAGTGAGTGACTCAACTTGAGATTTCTACATTTTTTATGACCAAGGGCTTACCGTGCAGCAGAATATCCTGGAAGGAAGGCCTGAAAACAGGAGAGGTGGTGGGTGGGAGGGGATGCCAAGGGGGCAGGGCAGGATAGGGAGTCGGACATCGCAATGGGGGGAGGCAAGGCTTCAGCTCTTCTTTTTGGGGTTGTTTACAGCTCCCCATCACCACCTCCCCTTTTGGCTCTTGAGACCTGGGAAGAGCCTTGAGACTTGACTCAAGCCTTGGCGTAAAGGACTGGAACACACCACTGATTCTGACTAATCTATTAGATTGACTCTATAGATTAAAATTACCCATTACAGAAGCATATTGCTGGAATGGCTCTCATGGCCCATTTCATCTAAGCACTGCTTGGAAATCAAGCCAGTAAGCGCTCAGGCCACCAGGGACTGCTCTTACCATCATTTACAGTCAGCCAAAATGTATCCTCCATTAGACCACTGCATCTACTTCTCCTGGCCTCGGGCAAATCGTATAGGTTGGATCTGGGATCTGCCTTCTGGAAGGGGAAGGGTTCTGTTTGCAGAAGATCCCTGCACCTAAATTGGGCAATTAATTCTCCCTTCTGCACTACAACTCACCCCATTCAACCCTTTGTAACATTTCCAGAGGGCTGACTCTCTCACTACTGGCAGCACAATTGATCCAGTTTAAATGTAGATTCAGACTTAAAATTTCACAAAAGCCAAAGCTATATGGTGTAAACTTAATTTACACCTGTGTAAAGTTGCACCTTCATTTGCACCTGTGTGTATTTTTATGCATCCTGCAAAACAGTAAACTTAATCATCATAAACTGTTCCCAAACAATCTCAATCAGTTCCGGTCTACTAGGCTTACCAAAACAATTTAGGGCACAATCTTATGCCTGCTTGAAAAAGAAATCCCAGAACCCCCAGTAATGCTGGCAGGGGAATGCTGGAGCTTCTAGGACTGCTTTTCCGTCTAAACTGACACAGGATTATGCCATGTATAGTTATATGCAAAACTAGTTCTTGGCTGTGTAGCAGAACGTTTTTCCACAAAATTGTTGTGTATGGTTTTTGTTTTTTGTAAGCCATCCAGAGACTTTAGTATAGGATGGCATACAAAAACTTTAAATAAATAAAAAATTCAATGCATTTAATGGTTCATATTTCAACTTTAATTAAAAAAAAACTGTCTATCACCATCTTTTACAAGATAGATTTGACATTTTATCCTACTTCCCCAAGATATGTTAACCCACATCATTCTCTACATACAAATGATATTTTATGTTTCCATGCTTGCTTAAAATAGCTAAGATCAGCCCTTTCCTGTTATTCTGTCTCCTGCTGCTGCCAAAATAGAGCAATTTTGATTGAGATCCACATTAAAATCTGTTTTAACAGGGTGCATATTTGGATGAAATACTCTTGGATATATTGTGCCATGTTAAAATAATTATTCCATTTGGTGAGTACTATTAGAACAGACAGAAAATGTCCATTTGACTGAAAAAAAATGATAAAATATTTCAATGGTGGCTAGGCAAGTTGTGTTCAAGGCATCTTGTGAATTCAGACTGGATACGTAACCAGTAAAGATGAGCTGCGAGTCATTCTCTGACTGTGTGGACTTAAAAGATAAATTACCCTGAGTTTCACTTTAACACCATCTCCGTTTGAAACAAAACAGAAAGCAAAATCTAATGCTTTTTTTTCTTTTTGGAAAGAAATATCAGCAGAATCTGACAGAACATATGCAGTGAAAGAAACCAAAAGCAGTTAAACCTGAACACTCAGCTTTTGAGCAACAAAGACCTGGTGAATTTGAAACTGTCTTGGGTTTGCCTTTTCTTTCCTCCTTCCACATTCCCTGCTGTCTTCATGACGAGAGACTAAATCAGTCGTGTTTTAACAGGAACATAGGATTGTTCCAAACCTTATGGCCACTATCCCAAGTCCAGGTACTACCACAGAGGCTCAGAAAATGTAGCTATTGAAACGGATGTCAGAGGTTTAAGAACCTATCTTAATTTTGTATCAGCTTAAGTTTCATGACCACTTGAGTGGGGAGGGGAACCCCTTTTTGTCTTGAATGAACTAAAAGAAACTTACAACACATTAAGGCTTGTGCCCGGCTAAGTGGAATGTCACTAGGTGGCCACATGGGCAAATCAATCTGCAGACTTTCTGGCAACTGGGGGATATGCACACAGAAAGATGAGGCCTTACAGATGCTTCAGTTCGCTACTTCTGGCAAATTCTCATGGATGTTGTTTTCTGGGAATTGACCGAATAACTATGGAAAAAAGGGTAGACTTTCTCTTTGAACTGGGCCCTGTATGTAAGGAGGTGAACCCCATTCCTTCCGTCATAAAAAGAGATCTGCCCTTCCTCGTAGTCCAGATACACTCCGATCTGCCAACATGACGTGGAGGCCCCAGAGCTAATTGATTCTATCTTTTCTAACTTTAGACCCCAGAGCTTGTCTTTAAGATAATTAGGCCCCAGCTTTTTCCTTTCAATGGACTCTGCAACGAGGCCGATCACCCATCCTGTCTGATCTTCAGTCTCGACTTCCCAGTAATGCCTACCTGAAGTAAAACCATTTTTCCCAAGCACAATCCAATAGTTTCGGAATCTCTGGGGATTATTCTTGTACTTCACAAGTGTTTCTTGAACCACAACACACATTCCCTTGTTGGTGATCGCAAAAATGGGATGAGCGGTGTTAGGGTCCAGCCGGACAGGTTCTAATTCTGGTGAAGAAAAAAGAAAAAGAGAGAAATGCTGCAACAGAGAATTGTCCACCCTAGCCATTCTCTCCTTTCTTAGATCACAAAGAGCAAAGAAGCAGGTGGGCACAGACTGTTAATGCTATTGCAGAAATCACCTGTACCTGCTTACCTGTTTGCCCTTTCTAACCTCAGGAACAACGGTGCTGGACACCATGGATGTGATGGCTACTGTGATCACAGGAGCCCTTCCAGCATGTGACAGTGAAGGGGATGAGATGGGAAGCAGGGCCATGCCGCCAGTCCTCATGAAGGACGATGTAGTATTTTTCCTCTTCTCTTTCCATCCCTTTTTCTTTGGGTGTTTTGTTTTGGTTTTGTTGTTGTTTTTAGATCGTACATTTTTGGGCACAGGTTAGTTTTAGTTGTTATGTTTTTATTCATTATTACTACTATTTCTATTACGTTTAAAACCCACCTTTCTTCCTTTTGCAAGGAACACAAGGCAGCTTACAGTCCTCCTCCTCTGTATTTGATCTTCACAGCAACATGTTTTGTATCATCAATCTGAGACTATTGTACAGGAGGGGATAAAAATGCTCCTGATGAGGAGGAGGAGGAGGGGAAGGCTATAACATGTCCAAAGTCACTCAGAGAACTTAATAGACTGAGTGAGGAATAGAACTGGGACTTCCTGAATCCCAGCCTAACACTCTAACTACTGTACCACATGGTCTTGGGTTTTTTTACTGATTGTGCAGAAACTGCTCTGGCAGTTTGGCATAGCAATCCAGCATAAATCAGCATCCAGCCCACTAATGATTAAATAATACATACTTGGGATTTATTATTTTTATTTTATGTAAGCTGCTGGGTCAGAAACTGGCTGGCTGGTCATCTGGGAGGTGGAGGTCGGCTCCTCTGTCTCCTGGGCACAGAAGAGGCTGCTGATCCTAACCAGCCTGTGAGTGGATCTGCTCAGACTAAAAATGCCATCCTGAAGGATGGCAAGCAGCACAGCAGAGCAAGGTAAGGAGCCAACGCAGGAGACGGAGGTGAGCAGCAGCCGGCTGGATGGCAAGCTCTGGAGCAGGAGGACGGAGCAGGGGGCCCACCCACCTGACAGCCAGTCACCCGGCCTGCTGCCACTCTGGGGCAGGCTTTGTCCCACCGGCCCTTGGCCACTGCTGTGGAGCAGAGCCTCAAAACGGCAAGGGATCGAGTGGGCTTCTGCTGGGCATTCACTTAGGAGACCATGTTTTGAGCTTGTCCTTGAAAAATCTAGATTCAGGGGATGGGGCCAAGGAAATGGTGTTTTGCAAATGGGCACTATTTGGAAAGTCTAGCAGGAGGGGGAAGTATACCCTCCCATCCCAAATGTACTTCTAGCAGCCTTCTAAATACTTCTGCTCCAGGTCTTTGCTCTCTGGTGCCTAAAATGCAAGAGCATTAAGCTTTTTCCAACCCAAGGGCTGAAATCCATTTCTCCCAGGGCCACTTTCCAGGGTTGTGTCTGACAAAGACCAAAGGAGCAGGTGCCTGTGTACCAAAAGTACCAGCATGTTTTAGCTGACAGCTGTTATGCCAGCAATGAAACCTTAGGAGAGGCATTTCATCCTTTCAGAAAAGGGGCAAAACTGCACAATAGCCAGAGAATCAGCAAGCGGGAAAGAGTCTGGGGCCAGGAAAGGGGGCCCAATTGTCCAGGGAAGCCCAATGGACTAGATCTGGTTTTTCACTGTGGCTCGCCAAGAAATCTGTGGCTCTCCTTTGCAGTTTGATTTGGCAGCACAGAAACGCCTCCTCCTGGATACCTTGCATAAAGACAGGATGCAGCGCCGACAAGCCAGATGCTGTGCGGGGCCCTTGAACTTGCCCAGCCAGAGTTCTTTACAAAGGACAGCCAGATCTTCCTTGTCTTCTTCAGGCTGAGCCTTCATTTTTGCTGGTAATCTGCAGGAAGGAAGTATAACAACAGTTACTGTAAGTGAGTCTCGGTAAGTCTGTCTGTAGTCTTAAGTGGTTCAGCCTTTTTATCCCCCTTTTTGGAAGATGGAGTCTTAGCCTCGATGTAGCAGAATCCAAAAAGTAATATGTTTATCTGGATTTTATCACTTTTGGGATAGATACAAGCAGACATGTTTTAATGCTGCTTCATGGAGGAAAAACCAGCTACTAGATATGCATAGAAAAATATTAAGCTGTGCTTTACCAGTGGCTCAAAAAGACACTCAAATGTGGTACTTACATATCCAGGAACTGCTGGATACCCTAAAAATGGATACAATGAGATCATCAGATTCTCTTCAAGACTTCAATCTGACTTAAGTGTGTTTCCCAGATGAGTCCTCTCTGACCCTTTAGACCCCCAACTTTGAATGTTTCCTTCCTTAACTAGGAATATAGTGGAAATCTGCAACAGGTTCAAAGACATTTGGATTTAAACAAATGCAATTCATGGATGAAACAGCAGATGAGCCTTTTTGAGTCATGCAGATTCCACAGTGAGCAGACCAGTTTCTAACTTTTTGGGAGGAGGGGGGATTTGTTAAAATGAGCACTAATACGCATTACAGCCAGCCTGTGATAATCATACTGGGCTAGAAGGACCAAAGTTTTGCCTCGGAATAAGGCAAGCTTCCTGTGCGCCTCCCATAAAACACAGGGGCACGCTTGGACACTCGGCAAACAGCTACGGTGGGTGTAGGATCTGGTGAGCAGAACGCAGCACCAGAACTACCCCGCTCCGTGGTCTAATGTCCAAGGACAACTCTGGTTCTGTGCATCCTTTGGTTTATTGGGGATTAGCTCTTTGTCAGAAATCAACAGTGTTCAAGCCCAAGAGGGCTCACCGGCCTTATCAGGAGAGACAAACAGGCACCGTCCTTGGGTTCAGTCTAAGGCAGAACGAGGTCTCCCTGCCGCTGCCCTTGTGGCCTTCCGGCTCCAGGGGGGTGGAGCGCCTGCCTTCCCTCCTTCCCTGCCGGTGGCGCAGGGAGCCCAGCAGGACGCTCCCCTTGGCTCTGTAGTGGCTCAGCTGAGGCTTTCAGAAATCTTGCTACGTAAAGCGCTGTCCCGGCTGAGCGGTCGCCTCGCTGTGAGGCCCGCGCCAGCGCCTACGGCCCGGAGTCCTGCACCTCTTCCCCAGCCCCGAGGCACCCAGCCAGCCCCAGCTTTCGCCTCCCCACCTTCGGTGGCTAGTGGCCGCGCCACTGGCCTGCCTCTGCCTCTGCGCTTCTTTCTGCTCTGTTCCACGTCCAGCACACACACCGCTCTCTCCTCCTGGAAGCCTTCTCCCAGCCTCCTTCCCTGCACCATCCTCTCTATGCCCACTCCCAGGTGTTTCCCACTGAGTTCAATCCGTGCCATGGCGAGGCATTGGTTCCACCTGCTGCAGCCAGCACCCCCGCCGCCCCAGAGCCTCTCCCTGGGAGAGGACATTGCCCTGTCCGTCTGTGTTGCTGGCTTTTCCCGTATTTGCTTGCTGGACGCCGAGTGGGAGGCAGCGAGCCCTGAGGCCCTCCCACGGCAGGGCCCACCTTGCGTTGCTGATTGCTGCCAGGGGCTGTGTGGAAGCCAAGCAGAGCCGTGAGTTGCAGGGACGCTCCCTTCTCTCTGCCTGCTGCAGGCTCAGGAGGCTCATCCGTCTCCCCGCCATCTCTGGCCTCGCTCTCAGGCTGCAGTCCTAATGCTTATTCAGGCCTAGCACCAGGGTTGTTGGGGCCCAAGACAGAGGGCTCTCTAGCTCCCTTGGCAGATTGCAAGGCGAGGCATCTGGGAGCCCCCATTTTAATTTCCCACAATGCCCTGATGCATGTAAAGGCATTGTGGAAAGTTAAAATGGCAGTGGCTTCTGCTCCAAATCCTTCTTGGGGTGGAAGGAGATGGGGTGGCGCATGGAAGGCATCAGTGGTGAGGGGGTTGGCCCGGCCTGCTACTCAAAGATGCCACGGGCTGCTCCTGGGCCTGCACGTGACTAAGCCCCACTCAACACCGTGGGGCGTCTGGGGGAACATGCGATGGTGCCTGTTTTTACTCTTTCACTTGACGCCACCCAGAGAGCCTTTACCAAGGGGTGGCACAGAAATTGTCGAAATGAATCTATCTGCCAACAAACATGTATGCGAGGCAGCAAATGAACATCTGGCCTTGCACCATTTCTGACTGCAGGAAGGCTGCCCCATAAAATGCCCCTTTGCACGTGAAGCAGGGAACCGTCCTGGGATGCCAGTAGATGGACGGTCTACCAAAGCCAGAAAGAAAGAAAGAAAGAAAGAAAGAAAGAAAGAAAGAAAGAAAGAAAG